AAATTTTAAAGATATATAAATTTTACTTTCCGGAAACCATTTTGTTTTAAATCCTAGCATTTATCCGCATACCTGAAATATATCTCTAGTCCGGTATAAAGACATTCTGTAAAATATGTTTCTTATACGTTTTATGTCGTACATATTATGGCGTCAACCGTTTAAAGAAAAACGAAATTGATGGCCAAGTCTAAACCGAGTTATATTTTTGATTGCTGAATGATTCTTTCATTCCAAATTATAACGAAAGATGTGTTCAAGCAAATATACAGTTTGACGACGGAATCATTCATTTCTTTATTTATACATCTGTACTACCTATGCACATAATGCTATTTTTCTCTCAGTTTTATAATCAAAAGCATAAAAATAACTTTTTTCTTAGATTTCAAGTAACACGGAACAGTTGTATATTTACTCAGTCCTATATTTATAAGGGATAGAAAACATTAACATTACACTTCTTTGAGCCAGGTTAGTTCTTTACAACCTTTCGACAGATAGAAATCATCGGCATTGTACAAGGTTATGCTTATTAACATTTGATCTGTTAGACGTTGTAACCAGTAAAAACGTCTTAGTATGTCACCCGATCGACAATGTCGGGTGACATATTGCTTTTCCTCTGTTTCTTTTTCCCTATTATTTTTATTTTTCTTCCACCTAAATTTTGTCCAGCAGTTTTCTCGGAGGCAATGAAAACAATCTTCATGATTGTTGAGCATAATGAGGACCACCATCAGGGGAGTTGCAGTGAAACTTTGGAACTTTAAAATGACCACCGTTTCCGGGGAAACAGCAAAAATGTGAAAAATATTTTTTTTTGTTTTTGATGACTAATTTGAGAATGCCTGAACTAAAAATTATCAAATTTTAATACAACATAGGTATCCACTATATACAGGTTTTGGATGATTTTGAGAATCATCGGAATTACTGTATTGCCATGGAAACTGGGAAAAGGTTTCCCATTATAACCATATGGGAAAAACCTTAAAGTAGCATGGTAGGTCAAATCCATTGAAACTTTGATGGTATTTTCCCTCCCATGTACCAATGTGGCATCTGTCATTACAATTTTGGGAATGGTCTTTGTAACCATGGAAACCAGCAAAAATGTCAAAAATTTCAAAATGCACCAAACTTAATATAACTTTATATAAATGCTAACTGGCATGTATAGATAAGACTTTTGACTTTGGAATTTCCAAAATGGCCGCCGTTGCCATGGAAACAGCAAAAATGTGAAAATTTCAAAATGCTTCAAATGTTCTGAAAATTTACAGAAAGATGTATTACCATGCATATATGTGCATTCACTGTTTAAAATTTTTGAAATGGCTGCCACTTAGTGGCAATGGAGGGAAGGGTGTCATACGCTATTGCTTGCAATGGCAAATCTAGTTCTTCTTCTGGTTCTTGTAATACAAGTGTTTGTCAATATAATTTTATCTTTTGACACTGACTAACGATATTTGACATCAATTTGTATTGATGTAAGACGGTTTGTCGAGTATCATCACAACCATTTTTGATTATAAAGCTTTTCAACTGTTTCGGTTTTATACATCCTTGGCTTTCAAATATTCGGCTTTGAGCGTTCCTATTGAAGGTAAATCCAGAAAAGCGCTTCGGACGTATTAAACATTTTAACGTGTTGTTTTCATTTTTTGTGATATTGACCTTTGACTTAATTTTTCTTGGATATATTCGTTCACATAACTTAACGTTTTTATCATTTAACATAGGTTTTTGAAACTCAAAACAATGTGTTTCGTACCATGGAAGATGATTTTAACTTTAATCTTTGATCTTCAAGGTAAAACAAATTGATTTGTATATGTTCAACACAAAACCATATATATATTTGCTTGAAATAGAAAGACATTTTCAATGCAAACAAAGGGTTTGCACTTGGAGGTCATTCCCTTTCCCTTAAATAATAAATCATAAAATTTTTCCCAAATGGTTCAGATTCCCATCATTAAACCATGTCTGGTCTTAGTTGCCCTCATCGTCTCTGCATATTATTATATATCTGTAAAACATCTTGAGAACTGTTCAAATTGATTCCTAACACCAAACCTATATATTCTAATTGCTATGAAAAGACCTTAACAATATACTTTGTATTTCTTTGTTGGAATCAGGACCGCCTCTTATATCGCTAATAAGAAAAACAAATATCTACCCCTTAACGATTCATATTCTGAACTGCCATAACTAGACGGTTAAAGTGTACCATAGAATTTTCGTGGTTGGTTTTGTGGATCAATACAGTTATATAGATTTAGAAACGCAGATAAGTGTTTAATGAGATTTTCCCTGAAATGATTGCCTTGAGAATAATCATGAATTACGATTGAGTGACAATGGAATATTGAACAACAAACCTGAGTTTACTCTTTTTCGTTTCTTTTTGTACGCATATAACCGTGTACAAGATTAAGAGATACTAAAACATATATGTTTGAGTTGTTAAATTTGGTAGCTAAGGGGAAGGGGGTTATATCCACTAAATTACATGTCAATGTTTTATGATCACATATACACCATCAAGTGTCACCAGATTGTATTCTATATATTCTAATTGCTATGAAAAGACCTTAACATTATACTTTGTATTTCTTTGTTGGAATCAGGCCCGCCTCTTATATCGCTAATAGGAAAAACAAATATCTACCCCTTAACGATTCATATTCTGAACTGCCATAACTAGACGGTTAAAGTGTACCATAGAATTTTTTTCGTGGTTGGTTTTGTGGATCAATACAGTTATATAGATTTAGAAACGCAGATAAGTGTTTAATGAGATTTTCCCTGAAATGATTGCCTTGAGAATAATCATGAATTACGATTGAGTGACAATGGAATATTGAACCACAAACCTGAGTTTACTCTTTTTCGTTTCTTTTTGTACGCATATAACCGTGTACAAGATTAAGAGATATTAAAACATATATGTTTGAATTGTTAAATTTGGTAGCTAAGGTGAAGGGGGTTATATCCACTAAATTACATGTCAATGTTTTATGATCATATATATACCATCAAGTGTCACCAGATTGTATAAGTAAAAGCGGCAACAAATACATCTGTTAAGACTCTTAATATCTGAAATAATTTGAACATGAATTGATATTATGCTGGATGTTCATATATTAAAGGAACAGTCATATAGTCAATACTAGAAGCAACAGCGGTACACTATACACTAATTCTTTTTATAGAATACATCATTCCCCTCTCCCCATTGACCCATACAGCAATCCATTTACAGAAAAAGCTTGCGATTAAAAATTTCAATATTTTCTTTAAAACATGCGATCTAATAACGATGGTTTACACCCAATACATCCATTCCCCAATTGCACCATACACCATTTCTAATTGTGTGGACAACATTCTTCAATACATAAAACAACATTCCTCTTTACATGGTACACCCTGTATTTATTTTTTTAGGAGTTTACACAATTCCAAGTCTGTACTGGTGTAATGTGAAATGTTGGAGGTTTTAGCAGAACATTTTATTTAGTAATTGCTCTGGAACAACTTTATGAGGACAAAAAAGATAAACATATTTGTACTTTACTGCGGAAGAATGGTTGATTGATTTTGTTCACTTCACGTCCAGTAGCTAACTTTTTTGTTCATATTCTAGACCAAATTAAAAATCAATAAAGTAGGTAGTTTTGGACAATTTGGTTGAGCGGGATAAAAGTTGTGAACTTCGACTACTACTTTAAAATTACGGCATGTTGGATAAGGAGCAGAATGTATGCCTTGAAACTACAACCTATGGACCCCTCAAAGAGTAGTTTTTAACGATCAGACAATTTGACACTTTTTTTCCTCTGTGCACGTCCCATCCTGACGTGACTGTGTATGTATACCCGCTAAAGCAATCGTTTACTGCCGGGCGGGAGAGATCCATAGGGTGATTATATATCTATACTTCAATCAACCCTTATGATCTGGATGAATGACTTATTTTGTATAACCGTTTAAGCGGCTATATCAACTAAATATTTTTTTAAGTGGCCAATAAGCATTTGACAAAAATGCAAAGCAATGTTAACTAGCTATTTTGGTGTATGTGCATGATTTCGAGCGGTAAACAGTGGGTACCTATTTTGTCGAATCAACTCCTCCTACATATTTAAACCCTGATTCCTGAAACTTCACAAACGGTATGTTATACAAATTAAAGTAGTGTGACTACTGTTATAGTATTGTTTATGCCCTTCTAAAAAATTGTAAAGTAAGTTATGTTTCTGCAAAATTTCAAAAGACGGTATCGATTTTGTGTAATAAACTTTGCTTACAGTTTTCAATCACATAACTCCACACAAAGATTGTAAAGATATTGAAGTTTTGTATCGGTAATGAAATTGTTTATGGCTTTTTTTTAATCTTTGATTTCTTTCTTTTGTTGAGATTTTCATTTTTGATTTTTGACTCCTTTTTGCTTAACGTCCAGTGCCAAATATATAATGGATATCTAGCAACTAACACAATATGTCGGTTTGACCCTCTGCAAGACATGTTTTGTAATGATGAAATAAATTTTAGGAATATTCAGGAAAAGGCGTAAAAGAGACGCGAAGGATACCAAATGGACATTCAAACTCATAAGTCGAAAAACAAACTGACAACACCATGTCTAAAAAATAAAAAGACAAACAGACAAACAACAGTACACAAAACAACATAGAAAACCAAAGACTGAGCAACAGGAACTTATGAACACAATATCCACATCAAATCTAGTAAGAACTGTCATAAAATGACCAACTTTGTCACTGCAAAAGACTGGAACGACATAAACATTTCATCAACCGCTTGCCACATCGAAACAGTGCATAATGATTAGTTTACTAGAACTCTTCATTGTTTTATATGGGGTTAGTAAGCATCTCGTATCTCCTTTAACAAGGTTAACCTGTACGACTTTCATAAACAAAATCACTGAAAAATATTGAATCATCAATCATACATCTGTGATATAAGCTATTTTTTATTATTAAATATTGATACATTTTAGGCATGTGTGTGGACATAATGTATATTCCACAGATGAGTACAGAAAACTACGAGCAACATTCCTTCATTTTAATGTAAGAATTGTGTATATTTATGTTATGTCCCTTTCTCGCATCAAATATCCTTCTTCAATAACATGTAGAACCATTTGTAGTTTTAATAGCACTGTTAATTGTTGCCTTTCTTTGCTTTACCTTTTCTTTCCCTTTTGCATGTGGAACAGTCCATTAGCACTATAAATCCAATCACAGAGGTAATAACAGTTGCTCCAATTATTCCCATTATTTTTGATGACTTTCTCTCATCTGGGGCACTCGTCAGAGATCTCTTGTACTCTAACAAACATTGTATAAATGTAATTATAAGTAAAGAAATTTTGTGAGCTTCTCATTTCCGTTATTCATTACTATTTGTGTTTTCTATTTTGTTACTTGTACTGTAATGTTCAAGTGATATGTATACTTTAATTTTCGGTTCAGTTTTTAAAACTTTCATAAATTTTGTATAACTATAAATAGAGTTGTTAAGAAAAAACTTTCAAAAAATATGTTTTCTTTTTTATAAGTTATCAACACAAAACCTGACACCCTATAGTCTAAATCTCGATTAACTAAATTGCAATAGACATATAAATACGGCATCTTAACGTCACCTTTAACGTTTAACTCTGCTATTAAAAAAACAATTGTATTGATGTGAAATATCATTGATATCATTGACTTTGAAATGCTAAGGATTTTCTACACCGGGAAAAGATCTTAAGTGTATTCGGCAAAACCTGTCGAAATGTAGGGTTCTCAATGCTCTTCAAATTTGTATTGGGATATAGTTACGATACTGTTGTCAGGTCATTAAGGATTGCATATTTGGTATTAATATTGATTCACTCATAGGGTCTTTGCATCTGAAATAAACATTTATTCTAAAACCGGTTGTTGGCATGATACGGGTTATGTTCTTCTCATATATTTTATGATGGTATGATATTAAACCCCAAACGGGAGGGATTGTACCTGATTTTCATATGATGAAGACATAATCTTTCAATCAGTTTAATTGAGGTCTGGAGCTGGCATGTCAGTAACTGCTAGTAGTCCTTTGTTAATTTATGTATCATTGTCATTTTGCTTAGATTCTTTTGTTACCTATTCTGACATCGGACTCGGACTTCTTTTAAACTGAGTTTAAATGTGCGTATTGCTAATGTGTTTCTTTATTCTACATTGGCTAGAGGTATAGGGGGAGGTTTGAGATCTCACAAAACATGTTTAACCCCGCCGCATTTTTGCGCCTGTCCCAAAACAGGAGCCTCTGGCCTTTGTTAGTCTTGTATGTTTTTTTTAATTTTAGTTCCTTTATATGTTTTGGAGTTTAGTGTGACGTCCATTTTCACTGAACCAGTACACAATTTTATTTAGGGGCCAGCTGAGGACCACTTCCGGGTGTGGGATTTTCTCGCTGCGTTGAAGACCCATTGGTGGCCTTCGGTTGTTATCTGCTCTTTGGTCGGGTTGTTTTCTCTTTGACATATTCCCCATTTCCATTCTCAATTTTATTGCATTTGGCCTTTTAACTTTCTTTTTTTCGAGCGTTTGCTTTGCTCGTGTCTGTAGTGACGTTTTGATTCAAATGAATGTAATCAATGAATAAATGGTTAATGATTAAGTCAAGGCTTTCGTAACTATAAATTGCTTGAAAATGTTGCTAAATTCTTTCATAGATACCAAGATTTGAGATTTTGAAGTTTAGCTTTACTTGTTGAATTCTTATCAAAAACGGGATATCACATCCTAATTTTTACGGTAATATTGTTTTTAAAGACTGTATATTTATATACGATCCACGTTAACGCATTGATCCTTTGAATTAACTTATTCTTAAAGGAAATCAACTTACACTGTAGTAAGATCTTTGAATATTGTTTTATATTATCGGTACTAATATTGATTTTGTTTTGATGGATTAATACATTACTTAATATGCCTTGCTACGCATTAATGAAAAACATTTGGTCGATATTATGTACTTATATTTTGGCATTGCATAACATCAATGATATGATTTCCTCAAACTGTGTATGACGTTTTTACACTAAATCCGATTTTAGTTCACGCAAAGGAGTGGGTTCGATAATTTCACATTAAGATTATAGACCAATATCACAATGAATCATAGCTAATACAATGACAAAAAAGGAAATATGTCTTTTTGTTGAAAATTTACGTACCTACGTTCTATTTATGACGTCTCAAATAGCACTCCTTTTGATTTCCCATGAAAATGCAATGGTAATGGGTAAATTTCCATTGATTTTTTATGGACAGAAATCATAGGGCGCATGCGTCGACAAAAAAGAACTTTAAAAATAATGTTTGTTATGACATTTTGCATATCTGACTTGAATATTTAGTTTGTCGAGGCCTGCGCTCTATGTTTCCCAGGTCTTAAATTGGTTGAAATTTGTACGTTTTTTGTCAAATTTCGCATTTGATATGTAAAATTCAACGCTTTAAAATAAAACTTATACAAAACTAGTTCTATTTAACTTTCTCACATGTCTTTTCATCAAACATTTTTTTTATTTTTAAACATTGAACTTAAAATTCGGGGCCAAATATTGCCTTTACCGAACTAACTTCTTTGTAAATAGGACGGAACTATAAACAACTGCCAAACAAGCTGGAGGTTCTGCTAGCTATAAACAAGGTTTAACCAACCATATTTTTCTGAAAATGACTGTTCAAAGTCAGTAATATGAGAGTTGTTTTTCATTTGTTCCGTCTAATATTCAACTTGTCAGTATTTATCAAGGCAATATTTTTTAATATGCCTTTGAATTCGGTTTTATTAATATTTTTTTTTTGTCTGGGAGAACACAATTTATTTACTTTTTAGTTGTTATTGGTTTTGAACTAGCTATTAGTAACTGCGGGTACTCTTAGATCGGCATTTTATGTCTTTTGTTAGTTGATTTTGTGCTTCGTGCACATTTAAAGCGTCAATCCATTTCAAACCGATTTTTTCAGTTTGTTCTTGTTTTGTGCTGTTACACCATTTCCCCAGGTTACAGAAGGGTTGATATCACAGACAAGTTTAAACCAAACTTATTCTATATGGGTCTCTCTCAAGTTGGAGCCTGTAATTCAGTGATGTCTGTCATGAGGGGGGGGGGGGGGGGTGCTTTGTCATAAATCAGACTGTTGGTTTTTTTTCGTTTTGGACTTTCAATTTGATAGTTGTCTCATCAGCAATGATATCCCATCTTTCTTGTGTTATAATAAGTTATACATAGTTCAACTTGGTTTTTAGTTTAATGTAAATATTCAGATGCAGATTTAGAGGAGATTGAGAGGGGTGCACAATCCGGATTTAGACGTAAGTAATCAAAAGGTTAATTCATAGATATTTTTTCCTTTTTGCGTATTATTTTTTGTAAAAACCGATCTCATCCAAAATCCTGAATGCGTTCCTAAATATAATAACTCAAAACTGTTTTAATTTATATTTTTCAAAAAGGACTATTATCTTCTGATGTGCATAGACTATTCCTTATACAGGACTTACTTTGTGTTGATTTTCTCTGTACCGTTAGCTCCATTTTAATCCTGTCTATTTTGTTTTGCAGATCTTCACTTCTTATTGTAGTAGGGTTTGTTGACGATGTCTGTGCAGGGTTTGTTGATGATGTCTCTGTGGGGTTTGTTGATGTTGTCTGTGTAGGGTTTGTTGATGATGTCTGTGCAGGGTTTGTTGACGATGTCTGTGCAAGGCTTGTGGATGACGTCTGTGCAGGGTTTGTTGACGATGTCTGTGCAGGGTTTGTTGATGATGTCTCTGTGGGGTTTGTTGATGTTGTCTGTGTAGGGTTTGTTGATGATGTCTGTGCAGGGTTTGTTGACGATGTCTGTGCAATGCTTGTGGATGACGTCTGTGCAGGGTTTGTTGACGATGTCTGTGCAGGGCTTGTGGATGACGTCTGTGCAGGGTTTGTTGACAATGTCTGCGCAAGGTTTGTTGATGACGTCTGTGCAAGGTTTGTTGATAATGTCTGTGCAGGGTTTGTTGATGTCTCTGCATTGTCAGTTATACATTGCGAATTTTCGTGAACACGGTTCATGACAAATGGGCTCAAACAATTGGCTTTACTTGAAACTGTAAAATAAATCTACCATAATTCTAACATTCTATAACCCTAAATGTTTGACCATATATTCGCTCGGTTGCAATTGCCTCGTTACTGCATTATTCAAATTATACATTTTGTTTTTAAATTTAGGCTATTGTGCTATGACCTATGCAACACCTTCAAACATATTTGACCTTGAACAAATCTGGCTATTACCTGTGTAGGTCCCATTGTTTTATGCTCTCAAACATTTATATTTTTTCATCGAACTTAGCTTACTAGTACCTAATGAATGTTATTTTAAACATAAGTGTTATATACATTTATTTAATATCATTCGGTTTTCTTTTAAAAAAAATATTAAAAGGTTACATTAAAGTAAATTGTAAAGTAAATTAAAGTTTGTGATCTCCTGCTGTATATAAAGCCCAAAATTTGAAAGAATGCATAACGGTCAAAATACGATATTCATAAAACACCGTGACTAGAGGAATCAAAGTGCTGGATAGCACCTCTGGGAAGTTTGCAACTGTAGATGTGTATTATTTCAAATAGGTTATAGATTCGTATTATTTCAAATATGTATTTAATCACGGTTTTTTGTTTTTTAACTAAACCATTTTCTTTTCAGTAATCATATAAAATTTTGATATTTTCTATTGCAACCTTTAAACTGTTGTTCTAAAATAATCAAATATACAGAAAGCTCTGTTAATTTCTTTATGTGCCCATGCCATATCTAGCGCCTGTAATTTTAAAGATTTTTTTTTTCATTTGTAACAGGGCATAACCCAAACCATTGCTAACCATAACAGTAAAATGACGGCACCAAAATTCAAACTTGATCTTGGTTTTGTGGTTAAAAATATTGTGTATAAATTTCGTAACATTTGGTTGAGGCACACTAAAGTTTGAGCATGGAATTGAAAAAAATTTATAAGTGGTCCGCGGAACCCGGTGTCTCGCCTACTTTGTCTCTTAATCGCAGGCTCAACAAAAATAAGGAAAAAAATTAATAACAATATTCCTCCATATACTATCTTTTGATTGTAAGAAGCTTCTGTCCAAGTTTTGTAAAAATCCAGGATAGTTTATGAATCTAATAAATGTATTGAAAATGTAACTGCAATTAATTAGTAAAATACGAAAAAAAAGAACAAACTTTTAACTAAATTTCATTCTAGATACTAGCTTTTGATCATAAATAAGCTTCTGTCCAAGTTTGGAACAAATCCAGGATAGTTTAAGAAAGTTATTAAAATTTCAAAAACTTAACCACAGAGTGAATATTTGTGGACACTGCCGACGCCAACGACGAAATGTAGGATCGTATGTCTCGTTTTTTCGACAAAAGTCGAAGGCTCGAAAAAATCAGCAATTTTTAAATTTGTAAAGGGGCATTACTCTAGAACAGTAAAACTGAGGCCACAAAACTCAAATTTAATCAGTGTTTTGTGATAATGATCATTGTGTATAAGTTTCATAACATTTGGTTGAGACAAACTAAAGTTAGAGATCGTAAACAAAAAATTCAAACAACTTTTCCATTTGTTAAGGAGCATATCTCTAGCATTGTAAAATCGACGCCACCAAAACTCAACTTGACCTGTGTTTTGTGGTAATAAGCATTGCGTATAATTTTCATACAACTTGGTTTAGGAAAACTAAAGTTAGAGAACAGAAACCAATTTTGGGATGTACGGACGTATGTACAAGTAAGGGGTCCGATGTACATATTTACAGAAGAAAAAGGGTAAAACTTAATACAGTGGGGACATAACAATAGCAGTATGACGACAGGAATAAAAAGTTTATATACACTAGATTCATTTATAACCCTGTAAAAGAGGGACGAAAGATACCAGAGGGACAGTCAAACTCATAGATCGAAAACAAACTGACAACGCCATGGCCAAAAAATAAAAAGACAAACAGACAAATAATAGTACAGATGACACAACATAGAAAACCAAAGACTAAGCAACACGAACCCCACCAAAAACTGGGGGTGATCTCAAGTGCTCCGGAAGGGTAAGCAGATCCTGCTCCACATGTGGCACCCGTCGTGTTGCTTATGTTATTACAAATCCGGTAAATAGTCTAATTTGGTAAGTCACATTCGTGAAAAGGGAGGGTTTTGTAGTTACGACATAATGAACATATCCGATATCATCTGTGAAACGGTTATTCCATAACGGTCAACCAACTCGTGGTGGCGTCCGTAAAATTTACGAAGGGATGACTTCACCATTTGGAACTCTTGGTTTAATAGCTTCCTTGTGAGCAGCAATCCTCTATCAAGGAAATCATGATAGGAAACACAAGCCCGGGAATATCGTATCAATTGGGAGATATATACTCCGTATTCAGGCGCTGCTGGAATGTTGCTACATAGAAATGGAAAGTTCACAATTGGGAAGCTGAAGTCATCTCTTTTGTCGTAAAGTTTTGTTTTCAACCGACCCTCATTGTCAATTGTGACACATTTTATAGTTGATGCTGTGAAATTTAGCATTGAGGCAATAACATTTGAGATTTTTGGTTTTCAGCCATTCATTTGATATACTATAGTAATCATTCTCTGTGTTGAGATGAGACTGTTAATTACAGGTCAATCTTTAAGAATGATACTGATCCAGGAGTAAGGATAAAAAGTTCTGGATCTGCCACTGCATGGTTAAACACTAAGAGTAAGAAAGTCAGTTTGCTATTACATGGACAGATTTTATTTAATCATGTAAATAATTGCTACAGCACTTGTCTTGATACACTGAGTCATTCTAAGTAGAAGATGACTTGTCTGCCTTATACTTGTAACGATTTTTGTAAAACTGTCATTGTTAATCGTAACACTGGACAGGCTGTGGTACGTACGATCCATGTGACTGTGAGCATGCTGGACGAGTGAAGGTCCTAAAACCCATTTTGGAATGTGAAATAGCTAGTATTTAATTAGCGGATTTAAAAGTTTTCAAATGTTTTTGGCATCAAAACCTTCCGATCGATGTTTTGACAAAAACATGCACTTTTCTATCATAGCCGGAATTTACCTTTTACTCATCCTTGGCGTGTGACATAAGCCATATGATTATCGAGTATTTCTGTCACCTGTGTATAATTGTTCAATCAAACTATTATCACTTGTCAATTATCCGACGGCTTGGTCAAATTTAAATATAAACATGTTTCAGTAATGTCATTCATACGGGATTCTTTCGATACACTCGGGCTTTTACTTTATATTTAATAATAAACATTTGTAAATATCGTACGTATTAAAAATTTGCGCGAGAAAATGTTCATTCATGAAATATTCATGAATGAAACGATGTCTCGCGTAGATTTCTTTTGATTTTCTCTTCAGCGCATGGCAAATCCGCGAAGTAGTGTTTGTGATCCTCATTTTCATTATGAAGTTAAATTCACCTGAATTGTCGGTAAACATTCATTCCTTTTTTATTCAACCTGTTATCTTTTCAACAGGACTCAAAATTTCAAAAGCATCTTCCTAGAATCAGTATTCAAACACTAGTACTACATTATCTTGGAGCAGAACATTTGTGATAGTCTGTCACCGGAAGTTTGAGGCTGACGCCTTAGGAAAGTATTGCTATAGCAAACTTCCCAAAAATGAAAAGAAAAACATCAATCCACAAATAACTACACAGAAAATCAAGATTCAGTAATACCAATGTCAACAAAAACCGTTTTTCTTCGAGATGATATGCAGTGAATGCTCCAATAGTGGCACCCATAGTGTAAATGTTCGGTCAAACCTGACTCGTACCACTATTGAGTGTCCGTTTACAGTCTTTATTCTGTAGTAATTGTAGGAATGAACCTACAAAACTTGTATGTTTGTTTTGAAAATAGTTTTTATTATATAATATGATTCCTAAAACAAAATATGTGTATTGTAAGATGTGATTAGCATAATAATACATTTCCCAGAGAAGTTTTGAGTGTTATTAACAACTTTAAAACGAGATCAGCCACATAATAGTTGATTGGGGAACTTGCACAGGTGCAATCAGATGTCAATGTTGAGATCCTGAAACACTTTAATCAATTATTTGTGGATAGAGTGGTGGGAACCGCTTACCCTTCCGGAGCACCTGAGTTCATTTCCCGATATAAGTAACGATTGTGTTCCTCAGTTTCTAGTTTTCTAGGCAGTGTTTTTGTGGATTTGTTCGTCTTTTTGTCGTGTTTTGCCACGGCGTGTCAGTTGTTTCTGTGTCATATGAGTTTTGAATATCCTCTCAGTATCTTCCTCTTCTTAATCAATATTTCATTCTTAAAACTTGATATATAAAATTATACAATCTAATCACATGGATGTTGCCTTAATCTTGCAAATAACTTACACTTTATAAATATTGCCAAACTGTCCGCCAATGTATGGTTCAATGCTGAAAATAAGGAGAATTTTTAAATGATTTTTTAGGTTTATTTGCACTAACATAATTTGAAGTTGGATGGTATTTCAGATATTTATGAAATTCACTCTGCAATAAGAACAAGTTGATCTGCGTCTGAATATTGTAACATTAATTTATGTTTATCATTTATACTTTCATAGATACAAACAAGTATAATGATTTATAAATAAACTCATCATACATGTAGATACCAGGATTGAAATTATTTACGCCAGACGCGCGTTTCGTCTACAAAAGACTCATCAGTGAAGCTCGAATCAAAAAAAGTTAAAACGGCCAAATTAAGTACGAAGTTGAAGAGCATTGAATACCCAAAATTCCTAAAAGTTTTACCAAACACAGCTAACTAAAGGTAATCTATTCCTAAGATAGATAAGTATCAGTATTTCGAAAATTCAGTTTTGTAAACAGTAGATTTATAATTATAATCATATCAATGATAATTCATGTCAACACAGAAGTGCTGACTACTGAGCTGGTGATATTCTCGGGTAGGAAAACTCCATCAGCAGTGGCATCGACCCAGTGGTTGTAGATAAACTCATTTACAAAATAGATCTTCATCAAAGAAGACGACATTGTAATTTTACGACATTTCGTCCACAGATTTTGTTAATTAAATGATATGGTATTACTGTGGACATTTCCGTCTTATTACAATTTAAACATCTGGGGGTCACTTGATAATTCAGACTTTGAATTTCTAAACATTTTAATTTAAAGACAAAAAAAATTAACGCCTCTTTTTACGTACATTCTATAAATTTATAGGTTTTTCTTGAATTCTATTTGATTGTATTCATTAATGTCTCCATGCTATATAAATCATGCTTTCTATATTTCAGTTCAACGAGTTCTAAATGCATACAAAAGCTCATTAAAATTCAAAATACATATATTTTACCTTAAATTAACGAATACAAAATACTTGTACCATGTGCTTATCGTAAAAGTTTCTGCAACTATAAACAAATTTCATTTAATTACTATCATTGTATTACTAACTTGAAATATTGCAATGAATCATAACAAACTTTTAGAAAAGAAAAGGCTATCGTATACTATTCTTCTGTTACCATACTGCTAACATTATTCCTTGCCATTTGGGATAACATGGTCATTTTATTGTCTCGTTAAATTATGTGTCTTTGTTAAATAAGAATGTAAACGGGAATAATAGTTTTTGTTCTACGCCGAAAAGAATATCTCGTCTTCGGTACAATTTTGATTCCAGTAAATAAATTATTGAAGGAGAAAATATCAAATTCTAGACTCTTTGATGAACAACGTTTTTTGTTAATTTTGTGAGTTGATATTTTAACAGAAGTTCAACATTACAAAAAGTAACATACCATTTGCTCTAGTCTACGGCGTTTACTACTGCAGTATGCCAGATTTAGATATAATTATTGTGATTGAACTGTTAGAATTTTATTCCTAGCTAAAACAAAATGTATCTGGAAAACCTTTGATACAGAACGATTAATATAGTATCACATTACAGATCATGTGATCACCAGTTCAAATAGATTAATCATTACAGGATCTCAGTTTCCCAACTAACTACAGATATGCTAAATCTGTCAATGGCTCCACATTTAAACTATCATTCAGCTGATTTGATGGCGTCTAGTAAAAACACGAAATGCTGATACATATTATCGAGCCAATGCATCGTAATTTATTTATTTTAGACTTTTTATAATTTGAATATACGTTTTAGTATGTTATAAATCAAATATGAGAATTTGAGTCAAATCGGTGAACTTGAATTCGACAGCTAATGCCCTTTTTAAAAACACGTTCTTCAATCGTAACAAAATTTTGTAAATTTAAACAATCAAGCATTTTGATGTTATCAGTTTCATTGAATTTATTTTTTGTTTGAATCTGAATGGGGTTTTTTTTTGTGCAAAGTAAGATTTATCCCTTCCTAAAGCAAGATATTTGCATCTATGATGGTTATTCTTTTTCATGAAACAAGGTTTGACTTATTTGTTCCATCTATCTTTAAGTTTAGAATAAGGAATACGAGTGTAAAGCGTAAAAAAAATTACAATACCTTTAGAAATGTACGGAGGATTGCTGAAGAGAATGAAGGGCTTGTCTTCTATTTTTCTCTCATAGTCGCAGTTGCCTAGTTCATCTCCAACAAATAACCAACCATAATCAGATGTCTCGCAATTACCAGTTGTTTCATTTCTTATGTAAAAACGTCTACTATAGTTGCCGACACTGTCATCGGCATTTCCACTTATTCTGAAAGTGTATTGAAAGCTATGTTATTTAATTGGTACCGTTACTGTTATATACACCTGATAAATAAGATTCAAGACAATTCACAGAAAAAACGTCAAATCAAGAAAATGTGCATTTATAGTATGTTAAATTAGATCTCTACGATAATATACATGTTCAAAAAGTAGCACTAAATTCAACTAACTTCGATATTTGAACATGCATGATATCCGTAATGATAACAATTGCTCCTCAGTTCATGGTAAAGAAAAAAATCTTGAAAATTCAAACTAATTAAATGTCATGTAATACTGTTGTGTTTTCGCTGAATTCTTTTAGTCGGTTAACTACAGAGACTGAAAACTTTGTCAGTTTATCTGGCTGTTTATCAGAAGAAAGTCCGTCGGACTTACTAAAATGTTCACAATATATATATATGGACGAGATGCAAACTGATTTATTACATACACTTTCAAAGAAATAGTTTGTTAAAGCTGTTTCCTAGATAGTTTAACAGAGTTGTACATCTAGTACATTTTAAAAATCTGATCCTTTTTATTCTGGTTTTTGTTTGGTCACATATACTGCGTTCGAATTTAAAAATTCCACATTTACTGAAATGGAAAGGAGGATTTTGTTTCTAATAATAATAAGATTACAATGAAATTTTAATAACAAATCAATTCATTATTTCGACAGTTCACATCTTATTAACTCTGATATGAAACTAGAGACCCTAAATATCAAGTATCGCTCACCTGAATCTATGTGCATTTTTCAACAATGACCACTCTCCAACATTTAAGACTAGAAATTGATTCTTGACTGAGATCTATTTTTCATTGATCTTGTATGCTTTAATTTTATTTTAGTTTTTTGTGTTATAATTGTCATATACTTATGTAGTTTAATAACGACAAAGTTTTTATTTGAATTGTATTGCTCCTATTCAATTTCTGTTTTCAGTTTCTCTCTATTTACTACAGTGACTGCCCAAAATATAAAACAAAACACGGTACAAATCGTTAATCAAGTGCAATAACTCATATAAGGACTATTTTAGCAATGTGGAAATCTTTGTAAATCTTGTTTTGCTGATAATCTTTGTTGTTAATATATATATATTATTGTGAAACTACCCCTTTACAACGCGGGCAAGCGCCAGCGGGGTACTGACATTATATACTTGCAAATATTTAAAAGTCTAATAAGTACATTAACTCTAAAATAATATAATATATTGGTTATTTCGTAAAAGTATATTACAGTAACAAGTTCATATTCATATATTATTTGAAATTTTCTGTCGTCCATAAAATATAAAAAAAATTTCGACCTTGAAACTAAAAACGTTCGCACACAGTTATGATATTAAACATTTGAGATTTTATCAAGTAAAAAAAGAACGTTCATACCTAACGTCTGTAAGATATTTTTTCCCGATCTTATCTAAACTATTACCTAAGTCTTGAGAATACAAGTAACCCTGATCACCTATCATGAACTGTATTTGTGCTAAGGGCGGCAACTCTGAAAAGCATGTGTCGGTTTCACAAAAAAACTTACGACTAAGATTGATCGTAAGTCATGAACAATTCAGTATACTTACGATCAATCTTAGTCGTAAGTTTTTTTGTGAAACCGACTCCAGATATCCATTTTTAAACTATCGAAACATGCTTGTATGACAGTACTTGTTCATTTTCTGATAGACGAGAAGAAAGACAATCTTACATAACGTGAAAAATATTCTCAGTCGCATTTGAGGAACATAACTGACACTCATTGTTTGTTATAATATTCATTCGTTGAAGCGTGGCATTTATAGGCAGACAATTCGTTCTTGCCAAAAGTTTTAGCTTTGTTCAGCGGAAGTCGTCAACGTTTGATAAATACAACTGCTTACGTTTAACAACCACAAACGATTAATAAAAGTTTATACTACTCTTTACTAAAATATTGGATAGTTGAGTATTGGTCGTATCGTTACCATAAAGTTTATTAAAGATATTGACGTTTATGTTTCCGTTTGCATAATGGTCAAGGCCCGCAGTCGAATAGTTTCGATATTTTCTATATATTTCCATTTTACAAGTATAATTTCATTTACGATAATTTTAGACGGTCGATTATCAGGCAGGTTTTTTAATCTAGCGTAAAATTGAGAATGGAAATGGGGAATGTGTCAAAGAGACAACAACCCGACCATAGAACAGACAACAGCAGAAGGTCACCAACAGGTCTTCAATGCAGCGAGAAATTCCCGCACCCGGAGGAGTCCTTCAGCTGGCCCCTAAACAAATATATATACTAGTTCAGTGATAATGAACGCCATACTTAACTCCAAATTGTACACAAGAAACTAAAATTAAAAATAATACAAGACTGACAAAGGCTAGTATGCAATTCTTCGTCTATCCATAAATCTATTTATTGATTCCCAGCCAAATTCAGCTAGCAGCGCACATTTAGGGATATTCATTTTTGTGTTTAGGATAATTTTTCCAACTTTATATTGAAAATTTTCTAGTAATTCGGTACATCTCTGGGATGGCGAAAACCATACCGAAGACCCGTTCGTAAGTGATGGATGAATAGCCGACATCCACAGAGAATGTCCAAAATTTATACGATTAAAAAAATCCCCATGTACACCTAAAATACGAATTGCATGATTTATTTTCCGTTGAAAATTTTCTTTCATGTACTGCTCTTTATGGTATGCAGATTTAAGGGATCTTGAAAAATATATGCCTAAATATTTATATTCATTTTAAAACTTCTTCAATGAGATCATTCCCTAAGTACCATTTTTTATTTGAGTATTTCTGTTTACCTGTAACCAGAACCTCCGACTTTGATGAATTAAACTTTAAGCTCCATTTTCAGACAAATTTATGAGCTATGTTTAAAAGAGTTTGTAGCTCATCTTGTTACCTAACAGGACAATATCATCAGCGAAAAGAAGACAGTTAATTAATTCAGAAGCGATGCTAATACCCAAATTTGCCGCCTTCAGCATATCGCATAGGTCAGTCATTAAAACGGAAAAAAGTGTAGGGGATAAAATACATCCTTGTTTAAGACCGAATTCTTGATCGAACCAATCAGACTCGTTACCAAAACGGACTTTATTGCTAACATTCTTATATAGTGCCCGTAGAATCTTCCAGCATTTACCCTGGATACCCTTTTTCCCTAGGAGATAGAACAGTCCATCTCGCCAAATTTTATCAAAAGCCGATGAAAGATTAAGGGAGGCAAGAAAAGTCTTTTTCTTCCTGGACTTTTCATTGAACAAATTCCGTTAAGTGTAAAAATGTCATCCTCCACCCTCCTGTCTTTTCGGAATGCACCTTGAATTTCACCAAGAATCCCGTTATCTTCAATATAACTCATAAGATTACTTTCAATCAGCTTGCAGTACACCTTATATACATTTGATGTGAGAGTTATACCTCTATGGTTACTCAGGGAGTATGTAGACCCACCTTTGTGTATGGATATAATGATTCCTTTATGCCATTCATCTCTGATTGTTTCTGAATCTGTATTTTTTGTAAAAATATGAACCAGAGAGTTCAACAGAATGTCCCCACCATATTTAAGAAATTCGTTATGAATGCCACAGTACCACAGGCTTTTCCGGATTTGAGGTTTTTAAAAGTCTGTGAAATTTTATTTTCGTCGAAAGTAACCGATAGGGGAGAATCTGATATTAATAAATTTTCGTCAATATTTGTAATTAGAATTTTAACTTTTTTTTTCAAGTTCACCATTTTCATTTTGAAAGGAACCTATGGAGCTAAAATGAAGGGAAAGGGCATTATTTATCTCATCCGTAGCCGTAAATATTTTATCAGAATCATGTGGATCATTAAGCTCAATAGGTCCTGTATCGGTTCGTTTTATTTCAAGGAAATTCCAAAACCCTTTCATTTTATTTTTTGCATTTATACAGTTTTCATTAAACTGTTGGATTTTAGCTGACCGTTCTTTTCTTTTGATGGCATCTTGTGCTTTCCGATTAAAATAAATTTCTTTCAGTCTTTTGCCAGTTTCGTCATCATGCGCATGAAATTTATTATGAGTGCGGTTTAATCTAATGGCATTGCGGCATTGTTTTAAAAGATAATCAAGTTCTTTATCCCAGAAGTCTCTGTAATTTTTTACGGGTTTTGCTTTACAGATAGCTGACAGGGCAGACTTTTTTACCGCATTTTTCCATTAATTCCAGAATCGGTTTACATCGTTTATTTTGTCATTTTCTTTAGTAAATTCGCTCATATTTTCATTCAGTTTTTTTCTGAAAGAGGGTCCAGTCTGTTTTATCATTTATTTTCCAAACAGATTTATTATTTTGTGTCTTATTCTGTACAATAGGTTTACAAATTAGAGTTAATCTTATCAAAATATGGTCACTATGCAAGTCGAACCGACCTGAATCGTCAATAAAAACACTAGAGACATTTTCTGACAAGCTTTTTGTCAATAATGCGTAATCTATTGCCGATCTCTGATTATTAAGAATGCGCGTGAAATGACCCGTACAGCAATTCATTGTATTTGCTACTGTCATTTGACGTGCGTCAATGAACTGTAGTAAGCGATTTCCGTTGTATGACGGTAATCTGCATAGTTTATTTTTACCTATATGTTCACAAACACCAACGCAACGTCCGTTGAAATCGCCTATGAGTAGTATCTCATATCCCATGGCATTTAAACCAGACGTTTTGTCTAGTAATTGAAACATTAATTCATCAGTGTAAGTTTTATTTGTTCCGTCGTTTTGAAAATAGACCACACCTATTGCCGTTTTCGCGTTACTTATTCTCGTAAAAGTCCATAGCCGTTCATATGAATGTGATTTGCTATCAAGCAAATTTTCATCAAGCAATGGTAAATGCGACTTTAGACAAATGCATATGCCTCCTTTTTCTTTACTACCTTGTCGCGTTTTCCCAATCCAACAACAATAAGATGTGTCTAAGTTAGGTGGTCGGTTGTTATTTTTCAAAAATGTTTCAAACAAACCAAAATTACCAACGTTGTTATCTTTTAAATGTTTGTTTAATTCATGTATTTCTGACGTCATACTACGAAATTCAATATTTAGATAGTCAATATTAAAAATGGTATTACCGTAAGAGTGGCGGTTAGTTTTCTTTCCACGTTTATGTTTACGAGTTTGTATTGCATGCATTTTCTTACTTTTATTAATAGGACCTGTCTTTTCAGAGTTGTCAAACTTTTCGGCACTTTCTTTTTGGCCAGTAACCTAGAATTTACATACCTTGACATTAAGGCCGTGATCATTACAATTCTATAGTTTTTGCCCAAATCAGAAAAAAGGAAAACATCGTTATTTTTAGACAATAACGTCTAATAAGAGGTAAACTGGCAATTTTGGCAATGTTTGACTCATTTGTAGGTCTTTTCTTGTTCTTCTTAATCTATTATAGTTTTTGAATATATACAAATATTTGATAAAAACCATTATTTATAATGACCTATAAGGAGTTGACTGACAATTCGGTTATGTTGACATATTTGCAGATCTTCTCTTGCTGATCACTGTTTCTCTTTATCTATTATAGTTTCAAAGATGAATAGCAAAAATGCAAATATTCGGAACAAAGTCTTTATTTAAGGGGCAATAAATCCTATAAGTCGTGTTAATAAACTTGTAGACCTTTTCCTGCTGATTCAAAGTTTGTCTGTTAAAGTTTTGAAGATCATAAGCATAAACTCAAAAAACTGGAAAATATAAAAAAAAACATTGTATTTAGGGACAATAACTTGTGATGAGAAGACCATTGACGAATCATCAAAGCATGAAAAGAAATAATAAAATCGCTGTATACCATATTGCCTTCAAGATTGGTTCAACTGCTCAGAAGGAAAGATGATATACATGTTTCCGAGAATTTTATTACAATCATCACGAGTTTGAAGACTACTACAGAATATCATAATAGACAGGAATTTGAATCTTACATAAACATTTATGACAATAATATTTTATAAAATGTGTTGTTAAATGATTATCGAAAGAAAAGCAGAAAAATCCTAGTAAAAAGTAAAATCACAAAAATACTGAACTCCGAGGAAAATTCCAAAAGGAAAGTCCCCAATCAAATGGCAAAATCAAAAAAACAAACACATCAAACGAATGGATAACAACTGTCATATTCCTGACTTGTAAGAATCAGGCAATGAAGAAGAATTTCAAAACATGGCCGAAAAAAAACCGCCGACCTAACCATTCTATTTTGAAGTTACTTTCATCCTCAGTTAGAAATGGTATGGTCTAATGTTTCTGCGTGTCTAGTAATTCGAGATATCTCTAGATAACTTTTGGTGAGAATGATAGCAAATAACGAAGCTAGCTCCCCTTAATAGATAATTTCAACCAAATTATATCATGAAATACCAGAAATTTGAAAAGGAAATAATGTAATATTCGTGAACCATTGAAGATTCTGAAATGAAATTAATGTAAACTTGAGCGGGTTTTTGTTTGTCATGTTTTCACCACTGCCTGGTTCATAGGCAGATTGGCACTTAACAAAATAAAGAGCTGCGCCGTGAGCGCATGATACGCCCGTCGCTTTTTAAAAGAAAGAAGTTCCATAACTACTCAATGTCATATCAGAAATTTATAAGAAAAAAACAAAAAAAACTAAAGGTAGGTTATTTTAATATATATAAACCAGTCATCACTGCTCAAAGCACTCTTGAGTTACTGTCCGAAAACTAGAAAATCCCCCTTTCTATGAATAAAACCTCATAACTCCGAAATGTAAAATCTAAAACTTATAGAAATAGAAACGTCAATAGATATAAACAATTCACCAAAGTTTCATGGAAACTGCTCAAAGCATTTTGAGTAATTGTCCTCAAACTGAAAAATACCCCTTTTTTAATGAATAAAACCCCATATTTCCGAAACGTAAAATCAAAAATTTATAAAACTCGAAAGGGAGCTCACGTCAATAAATATAAACAATTCACCAACGTTTCATGAAAACTGCTCAAAGCATTTTTGAGTTATTGTCTGAAAACTGGTAAATGCCCCTTTTTTAATGAATAACACCTCATAACTCGGAATCGTAAAATCTTAAATTTATAAAAATCGAAAGGGAGCTCACGGCGATAGATATAAACAATTCACAAAAGTTTCATGCAAATTTTGGTTAAAGCGTTTTTGAGTTATTGTCCGACATGTTGACGACGGATGGACAGACTGACGGATTGACGGACATACGAAGGGACGGACGGACGGACAACGGTATACCATAATACGTCCCATAAACGGACATATAAAAACTGTACTCTTTTCAATGTGTTGTCTTCATCAGAGACATATGTCTCTGTCATCGTCTTGTTTGTTTGAAGACTTAAATCTATTTGACGTGCTGCGCATTTTGCATAGTCTTGCTTCCGGAATCTGGTTGCTTTTTATATACTGCTCATAAAACACATTCCATATTCACCATATTAAATATTTTAGTATATAATCAAGGCTTTTACGGTATATCAATGCACGTGTGACTCTATCAACTTTTTAAAGGGTTAAAAACCATAACTTATTAGTTTTCTTAGAATAGTTTTCATTTATACAGATAAAAATAAGCCTTTTAATAATAGGTTAAATATATCTTCCTCTATAAACTATTAAATGGCAATTATATCCAAATTTGTATTGGTATTGATAGCTATTGTTCGCATCAATCTGAGAAGTTTGTGAAATATTTTAATTTTCGATAGAGTTCACCAAAATACTAAAATACATGTAGGTCAATAAATCAATTTTTAGACAAGGTGGTTTCTATTTTGGTAAACAGATAACTGACATTCAAACGGCGAAATCTTACCCGTCCACAGAAAAGAAAGAAACGTTTGTTTGTTCATTCAGATCACTGTAACTACTATTCATGAGCCGACTCTCATCAAACCAGTTCGTTTTGTTTGTCTTGCTTCCATTGAACAAAAGAAATATCTGTTCAATACCATTCACATAAACTGACACTCTAACCTGAAAACAGATTAATATAGACTACAACCGCTTCGATTCCCCCATTAAACCAAAATGAACAAAGCATTCGATTGTCAAACAAATGAGAGGTTAAGATATCTATAAAACCAGGTTTAATCGACCATTTTCTACATACGTAAATGCCTGTACCAAGTCTGGAATATGACAGTTGTTTTCCATTCGTTTGATGTGTTTGAGCTTTTGATTTTCTTTTTGAAAAGGGACTTTCCGTTTTGAATTATCCTTGGCGTTCGGTATTTCTGTTCTTTTACTTTTCAATAAATATTTATAAATATCAGATTAGAAGTGCACCGCTAGTATTGATTGTTTACCAGTTCGTCTGCATGGTACAAATCAAGACCATTAACTCTAAAATCATTAACCGACCGTGCAAAACCCTCATGGGTGGCTAAGCTCGTTAAAAAAACCTCGTCGTTGAAATAATTTAAATGGATTCAACGGGAATAAAATTTAAGAGCAACCATTGCCACTGTGTATCATCACCACCGGATATAGGTACCCTTGGCCTGGTTCTCTGTTCATTGTCTAAGAAAAATAACATTACTGTATATACCTGGGTACCTATATGTTGGTATATGTACAGTAATGTAGTTTTTCTTAGACAATGAACAGAGAACCAGGCCAAGGGTACCTATATCCGGTGGTGATAATACACAGTGATTGCCACACTTTTTTGTTAATCTACTAAAAAAAAGACAGGTAAAATAGTGTATTCACCAAATATGAATAGAAAATAAAGTTCCGGAAATTTCGCCTGGGTCTGAAGGTGGATAGGGGACAGGAAGTCTCAACGTGGACTATTTATATTCCTTTGAAATTATTCACACTTCTATACAATAATAATCATTATACTTACGTGTGTCTGAACATTGGATTTCAATGCATTATTGACCTTCGATGTTATCTGACTCATATTTTAAAACAGAGTTGATTGGTTAATTTAAAAATAAGGTAATGTGGTATATATAAAAAAAGAAGATGTGGTATGATTGCCAATGAGACAACACATCACAAGAGATCAAATGACACAGAAATTAACAACTATAGGTCACCGTACGGCTTTCAACAATGAGTAAAGCCCATACCGCATAGTCAGCTATAAAAGGCCCCGAAATGACAAATGTAAAACAATTCAACGAAAAAAACTAACAGCCTAATTTATGTACAAAATAATGAACGAAAAACAAATATGATTGCCAAAGAGACAACTATCCAAGTTCAAATGAAGTGGATGTTAGCAATTATAGGCAATTAACCGAACAGCCTTCAACACTGAGAAATCTTTCAAATTAAAAGTATATTAGTTCTTGATCTACTTTCTAAAATGATGGCATTGGGTGCATTTATTTGGATAAATGAAGATTTTTTGTAATTCAGATCCGCGTGTAGAAAGAATATATAACGGTCATTATGATACAGACAATTCTTGTTAGTTTTAACATTATTCAGACTCTTAATAGCAGAAACAGAATTGCTAGAAATGGTAGATACACGCAGGTAAGTATATTTAAACCAAAATCTGTATGATATCATATTTATGATGATGCAATTAAGTAGGTCTTTTTTATCAAAAGAATTTCATAGGGTAAACGCTAATATTTATACCTGATCTATTCCATTTGTGGACCAGTTATTGACGATATCCGATTTAAAGTGTTTCCTCGATGGATTAGAGCAGTGTAATGACATGGCTTCCTCGTCATTAACATTTAATGAATCGCCAGACATGAACAAATTGTAAGCACTACCATTTCCTGTAAAGGAATATAACTATCTGTTTAAATGAGGACAGAAAGATCCCATTTTGAGGAAGAAAATCTGTGTTTTGTCTATTTCTCATATGAATCGGGTTTTATGGCAAATCTGTATACTTGTCGTGAGCATTGATATCTATGAAATACGTTGATATCACAACTACAGATACAAGTGTTGGTGCTCAATTGTGGACTCTTAGTCTACGATGTACCGTCTGTCACGTTGCTAGTGTGTCTGTACTGACACACAATGAATATTATATTTTGACTGAACATTTTCAACTACTTGCTGTGTATTTATATGATAGAGAGAAGGTTGCAACATTTCAGAACTAATTTTTTGACTTTACTGTTCAATGTCTTAATGTCATGCATGTATTTTTTCCTTCAACATATTTTCGTCTTGAATCGTTCAGCCGGTTGCAACTTTCCTCAGGCAATGCTAACCTGATGTTGTTTTTGTTTTTTTGTGGGGCCTTGGTTTGTCTTCGGCTTCCTTACCTCCAAAATGACATTTCGAAATGCACAAAAAATGCAGTCACACTGTTCTATTGCAATAAACCGAATATTTTCATTACAAATAATGTTTTTAACTATTTTTATCGATTCAATTCAAGGTAATGTGTATGTAAAGACTTTACACAGACGATCAAAAAGTTGCACAATACTTCGTCCGTGTACTGACGAGCGTATAAAACAAGAACATACCTATAACCATAATTTGATATTAGTATGTTTATAACATAAACGGTACCAATTTTGCTGAACCGGTATCCATTGAATTTTTTAACTATGAAGCATTAACCCATTCTGTTAATATTTAAAAGTAATTAAAATGACAAGAAAATATAAATGTATATAGATATATTACCTCCAGTTGATATTTTGTATACAAGAGCCCAGCATTCCTCTTCACCTCGAGACATACGAATATTCAGACCCACAGCCGTATAGATCAGCAAAACTGTAAATTTATTACTTACATTATTAAATCCGTCAACTTTCTGTCAACTTTAAAATTCTACCATATCATATAACTACAAAGGACACCGGTAACTTTTTTAATTCGTCTAATTCCAAGTTGTGTGTATGTTTAAAAAATAACTCACCAAAGATAACAGGCTTATAATTTTGTACGTCAGACGTGCGTTTCTTATACAAAAAAACTCACCAATGACACTCTAATAAATCTGTTAAAAGGCCAAATAAAGTACAAAGTTGATAACCATACACTACAAACTGCTCAGAGTCTGAAAAGACCAGACTAGTAAAGCCGAGCACAAATTTTACTCGACTAGACTCGACATTGTCTCGACAGTACCTAACTGTACTCGACTTTGGTCTCGAATTTACTTAATAAGTCTGATTCAGTAATTGATGATCTTGGTGTAGTCTGAAATGGTCTCGACCAAGGCTCGACCTGTCTCGACCAGTCTCGACTCAGTCTCGGCTCAGTCTCGACTAGTCTCAACCTGTCTCGACTAGTCTTGACCTTCAAATTTAGTCTTGACTGGTTTGAATCAGCCCATCTAACTAAATTAAATATTGATCTTACAAAATTCCAGGTTATTTGGTAGTTGGTTCATTGCTGGGAAATTAAAGAAGTAAATTAATAGGTAAAAAAAAGCAAGAATTTTCAGTTTTGATTAAATTCAGATAGTCATCTTTAATTATTTCTATAACTTTTTCAAATCAACTTGGATTTTCATAAAACTATACAGCTATCTCAATGAATAATTGATCTTACTGAATCCCAGGTCGTTATGTAGTTTGGTGTATTGCTGTCAAATTTCAGGATTTAATTAATAGGTAAAAAAAAGTAAGAATTTTCAGTTTTGATTAAATTCAGATAGTCATCTTTAATTATTTCTATAACTTTTTCAAATTAACTTGGATTTTAACAAAACTCTACAGCTATCTCAATTATACATTGATTTTACTGAATCCAAGGTCATTATGTTGTTTGGCAAATTGTTGTCAAATTTAAGGATTTAATTAATTAAGGTAAAAAAAGCTAGAATTTTCAGATTGGACTAAATTCAGATAGTTATCTTAAATTTTTTTTATTTATAACTATTTCAAAGCAACTTGGGTTTTCATCAAAATCTACAGCTATCTCCATTATATATTTATCTTAAAAAATACCAGGTTATTTGTTAATTTGGTTTATTACTGTCAAATTTAAATATTTAAATTATAAGTATCTGTTTGAATTTAGTCAAAACTGAAAATTTCAGCCTTTTTTACCTATTACCTAAGTCCTTGAATTTGACAGCAATACACTAAAATACAAAACAACCTGGCATTCTGTAAAATAAATATATAATAAAGATAGCTGAAAAGTTTGATTAGAATCCATACTGATTAAAAAAAAGTTATAAAAAAATTTAAAGGTGACTAAGAATTCAATGCAAACTAAAAATTTTAATGGTTAAAATAAATTTCTCTTTAACTCACATGGCAGCAGCCACAACAAAATAAAGATATATATAAAAACAGATTTTTACATTCTTACATGATTCTCAGATTTATCAAATAGAGATAGTTAAATCAAATTATCTTATATGGTTTGGCGGTAAATGGACAGAAAGTCACAGGGCAAAAAGTCACAGGACATAAAGTCACAAATTTGATAGGACAAAAAGTCACAGGACAAAAAGTCTCAAATAGTTTGTTGACAATTGTTTGAATATATAAGAGAAAGATCTAGAAATATTTTGTTTTTATTACATATATTCATTTTTAAGTTTAGGAAATTGTTCATTAGCCTTGAGTAATGAAAATTTATTAAATTTTAATCGTGCAAAGGATATATTTCTTGGCACCATGAGGCCATTTAAGGATCAACCCTCTTTGACATTTTGTTTTCATAGCAATTATTTGATTATTATTAATATTTATTGCATAAATTTTAATTGCAAAGTTGCTTTATAAATAATAGTTTAAGAAAAAACCAAAATATTTCTTTTTAAATTAGTTTTTTCTTGTTCAAAGAAAAATAATCTCAAAACTGAATTGTGACTTTTTGTCCTGTGACTTTTTGTCCGTGACTTTCTGTCCTGTGACTTTCTGTTCTACATTCGGTTTGGCATGTGTTTGTTTTTTCTTAAACCTAATTTTCCTTAATTCTTAAAAAAAACTACATAGGTTTCATGGTGACATACAATAGTTATATAATTATCTTTTTAATGAGGTAACAACAGCCAACATAATCACTCAAATTGTTTAATAAAATTGAGAATGGAAATGGGAAATATGTCAAAAAGACAGCAACCTCACCAAAGAGCAGACAACACATGAAGGCCACCAATGGGTCTTCAACGCAGCGAGAAAATCCCGCACCCGTAACCTTATATTAGAAATATATCTATTATTATAATTTGGGATATAGTATATATAATATATATCAAAAGCGGATAAAGAATTAAAGAAATTAATAAAATTGTTCTTCTCATTAGTGGTGAAGTATAAAGTAATACCTCCTGCTTGGGGCAAACTCATTAAAAAGACCACAACCTGGTCAGAGAGTATTAAATTCTAAATAACATTCATTCAAAATTGCAACATCCTATTTAACTTAAATCGCAAGGCCTTTTAATTCACTAGATAAGTAATACACGTGTTTAAGAAAAATAGGGCTTTCTTTTTATCTGTAAAACACACATATACTGATGTAATTAAACCTAATTAAAGTGCTTCTTGTATGCCATGTCTTTAATTTTGACAAAAATTATTTTAAAAGGTAATCAAGTATTCCTATGAAAGTTCTATTATCAGGATTATATTAAATTCTTGTTTTAACAAAACAAAGGTGGCATTTTAAAAATTTTATAACTTTTTCAAATCAGCTTGGATTTTCATAAAACTTTTCAGCTGTTTTTATTATATATTAATCTTACAAAATGCCAGGTTGTTTTGTATGTTGGTGTATTGCTGTCAAATTTAAGGACTTAGGTAAAGGGTAAAAAAGGCTGAAATATTTTAATTTGACAGCAATAAACCAAATTAACAAATAACCTGGTATTTTGTAAGAAAAATATATAATGGAGATAGCTGTAGATTTTGATGAAAATCCAAGTTGCTTTGAAATAGTTATTAAAAATTTTAAAGATGACTATCTGAATTTAGTCTAAACTGAAAATTCTAGCTTTTTTTTACCTATCAATTAAATCCTTAAATTTGACAGCAATTAACCAAAGTACCAAACAACCTGGCATTCTATAAGATCAATATATAATTGAGATAGCTGTATAGTTTGATGAAAATCCAACTTGATTTGAAAAAGTTATAAAAAAATTTAAAGATGACTATCTGAATTTAGTTCGAAACTGCAAATTCTAGCTTTATTGACCTAGATTAATTGAAGGTCAAGACTAGTCGAGACAGGTCGAGATTGAGTCGAGACTGGTGGAGACAAGTCGAGACTGGTCGAGACAGGTCGAGCCTTGGTCGAGACCATTTCTACACCAAGATCATCAATTACTGAATCAGACTTATTAAGTAAAGTCGAGACCAAAGTCGAGTACAGTTAAGTACAGTCAAGTACTGTCGAGACAATGTCGAGTCTAGTCGAGTAAAATCTGTGCTCGACTTTAAAAAAAATTCAAAAGTATTGTCAAATACAGCACCGGGAAACTATTTCTAGGGTATAAAATCCTTAGATTTTCGAGTAATTTAAAGTTTTTGAAACTATTAATTTATAAATGTAACCATAGTAATGATAAATCATGTCAACACAGAAGTGCTGATTACATGGCTTGTGATTTTTTCGGGAAGCAAACCTCCAACAGCAGTGGCATCGACCTAGTCCTCAAAAGTCACCAAATATACTTTAGTGATTATAAAGAATAGAACAAGGCGCAAATGATAATATTCCCGCTAATATTTTGTCTCGATAATTTCAGGAAAATGCAACGCTATACCATTCACAGGAGACTATAATTATTCCTGTATGGTGGGCCATCTATAGCAGCATCTTAGTATCCGTGTCTATCATACCATACATATCAATCAGTTTTGATAATAATATATTTTAATCTTATCTATCGTTATTCTCATGGCCTTAGAACAGGAAAACCAAGCTAATTAGAATATGAATTTTACTATTAAGATTAACTATTATACAAAAATTTGAAACGGAAATGTTCTCATCATACTCTACCCCCTTTCTTTTGGTGAACAATTCTCAATTTGAATTAACTGTTTTTATTTCTATGATTTATCATGTAGGGTTATTGCTAAAAAAAATAAATTAAAATCATTAAGAATTATTATATACACAAAAGCAATGCGCTACATTGAGTACAACATACAAAACTGCGAAATATTATATAAAAATTAATTTGGTTCGTTTTAAGATAATTAAAACAATTAGATAAGCCATATATTTTGAAAGTTCTCACCTATCTGTATTAGCGGCATTTTCAGATAAACATATAATTACTTGCTACAAAGTCATGCTTGTTGAACTACTGTGTAATTGTGTTCGTTGATTAAATAATTCATGAAGCATCATTTGCATTTTATCCCTGAATTTAATGCATATCATTTGTCTACGCTGAACATCTGTCATTGTCATTGTTTTTAAATTCCAAGTAAAATGATTCCAGTTGACTTTGGATCAAAGTACATTTTCATGTTATGTGATAATGAGGAAAACCTCTCAGTTATACGGCATCATAACACACTTCTATAGCGTAAAATTACAACGGTTGTTTCGTGGTAACCTGCTTACCTCAAGTGACTTGTCTTTTCGTTGTGGCTTCGATTTCCAGTCAGGTTAAATCAAAGACTTGAAAATTGCTTTCTCTATGTTAAGCACATGGCATTATTTAGAAAAATGTGTCCGTGGATGTGACTTTTATCTTTCTGCAGATTGTTAATACCTAGGGAATAACCACTTTTGAAATCGGACTAAACTTGTCAGTCTAGCACAAACCAAAGATCATATTAATATCACATTAACAGGTTCTCGACCTGATTTGCATGAAATATTTGCAACTGGACGCTAAACATCAACCCATACATTAATTCAATATCAACGTATATCAGTAATGAATTTAAAAGTCACATATTATTAATAAAATGGGTATTTGGATGAACGTTTGCTATATACATCAATCAAAAAGACGAAAAAAACGATTAATAGCACTGTATAAACTTATATATTTTTGACATTTTTACCTATTAAGTCTGTTTCTTTAGTTGACACATTGTTGTCAATATAATGTAATTTTATGCGACTGTCATACAAGTGAGAGATTTAGCTAGCTATAAAATCATGTTTAATCCAACATTTTCTACATAAAAAAAAATGCATGTACCAAGTCCGGAATATGACAGTTGTTTTCTTTTCGTTTGATGTGTATGAGCATTTGATTTTGACGTTTCATAAGGGACTTTCCGATTTGAATTTTCCTTGGAGTTCAGTATTTTTTTTTATTTTAATTCTTTCTATTATAAGTTTTGATCAGTACATTATTCTAAGTTTCTTTCATCATAAAATAGTATAAAACCATCTGACTGCTCATCCCTTTACACCAGTCTAGTGTCACATTTTTATCTTCAAGACAGTTTCATGAAAAAGGTCAACGTAGATTCGCATATTTTGTTTAAGTAATACCAGTTTTGTTCAGTACATAATCTAATTCTCTTTCCTCGTGCTATGGTAGACACATTTGACGGCTTCCGTTTCCTATCTTGATTTCCTTTACAAGAAAGCTGTTGAATCTAGGGTAAAGTTAAAGTCATTCAGATGACCACTGATATGTTTCAATTGGTTGAAACGCCTATTAATCACTTTCATGTTATCCTTCTTTTCATGGACAGCAGTCCATCTTGTCAGGTATAGAACCCGTCTACATACATAATGGGAAACAACCTGTGTTAAAAGTGTGTAATAACAGATACAAATCGATAATTAGCAAATAGACTATTACCATGAATACTAAAAGTACAGAATAGAAATATATCATTTAAATTATGCAAATATAGAAGCACTAGCAACTTGGCGGACGAATATGAACTAAAAGTTACATACTTTGTCCATTTTAAATTTGCACGTGAAGTGAAATACCAAAAGAGGGAGTTTTTAAGCGAATTGAGTTTGTTAAATTGTGCCCGTGCCGAACTCTTCGGTGGTATCGACCAACTAGAAAGATATCGAGAGACCACCTGTAATGAACAGAACACGCACCTGTTGTTGTTATTATAAATGCCAGGAAACGGTAATTGTATTTCGAGTCTGATAATTGATATTAGTTTTTGTTCTATTATTAACCACTTTCAATCGGTCATTTTAAACTCAATTCCATTGAATATGATATGTTTTTGTATCATATTAATTCATTTTATATTTATAATCATTAAATTCCGACAACTTTATTTCTGAAAATAATTCAATGTTTTATTCACGGTCGCGAAACACGTGACTTCATCGTGATCAGTTTCACGGAAAAATGGCGCCCGTCAAATTATTATAGTTTGCCTCGAGGCAAACTTTAAACGTAAGTATTTACATATCATCGTGTTCATACATAGGACCCCCTCATCATATGCATCTTTTCCTTCCGAATATTGTAATGCCCATAAAGTTATACTCAACTGTTGGTTTCATAGAGAACATTCACAAAATATTTCAGACCTGCTGAAGAATGTTTGGGATTTTGTGTACACAATATGACCGTAAAGTCACTGTTAATCCAGCAACTTACCCATATTTATCTATTCGTTCATAAAAAAAATAGCGTCAGTGTATATTTTGGACATTATTGCGAGCTAAACGCAATAATATTTTTTTCGTCAATAAATGATCAGTGTTCACGGTAAGAGTTTATACAGGTAAAAACGATGATTAACGTATATTTTAAATCTATAATATGAAATTAAACAGACCTAGAATAATCCAATAACACGAGTTCTTTTTCTATTGATACACTGTGTCTAAACTACCCCGGCGAAAAATGTTTGGACTCAATAGTATCTAATGTCCGGTACGGTGACGGACAATCAACAGACAGAGAAATGTAGAAATTCTATTTATTTATATGTTGTTTTAATGATATTGAAGAATATACATACATATATAACTATTTTCAATAGTGTGATGTAATATTTTCTACCACCGTTCTAGATTTATGGAGAAATAAGTAAAAAGGCACATCAAAATGATGAATTGATTGAACCCTGCCTCGAATTTGTTTAATTTCTCTTTAAATTGAGCACATTGTACGGAAAGAAAGGTACGGAAAGAAAGATATTAACAAGGAGATTTCAAGACTTTTCACTATGATCACCTCAATATTTGCATGTCTGTGCATGATTGAGTTAAGCTATTTCAGTTTATATTTTATAGTGTGTCTTTTTATGTTGTGATGTTACACTATTGTTTCAGAAAAAGGGTGAAGGTTTGGTACCATTAAAACGTTTAAACCCGCTGCATTTGTTTGCACCTGTCCTAAGTCAGGAATCTGATGTTCAGTAGTTGTCGTTTGTTGATGTGGTTCATAAGTGTTTCTCGTTTCTCGTTTTTTATATAGATTAGACCGTTGGTTTTCCCGTTTGAATGGTTTTACACTAGTAATTTTTTGGGGCCCTTTATAGCCTACTGTTCGGTGTGAGCCAAGGCTCCGTGTTGAAGACCGTACTGTGACCTATAATGGTTTACTTTTATAAATTTTGACTTGGATGGAGAGTTGTCTCATTGGCACTCATACCACATCTTCTTATATCTATGGAATGAAAGAAGTGGGTCATGTCAAAATTGAAGCACCCGGTTTTGTCAATGTGTACGACCCGGTTTTGTCCTTAAATTTCACAAAGCAGACCCGGTTTTGTCATAGAAAATAATGCATACTCGCATGACGAAAAATAAAATATGGCGTTCAACAGCAGTTTGAGGGATCGTTGAAAAACATTTTCTTTCAGAGGATAACTTATAACCTTTTTGAATCCGTAAACACTCAATTTCCTGCTATATTAGAACAAAGCAAATTTCAATTTTGTTTTGTATAAAAAAAAAAGGAAAAATTAAAAATTGTAACGCAATTAGATTTGTTTATATCAACTATGTAAATTTAAGTGTTCAAACTTAAATAGTGTACGGCCTTGAAAATTTGATTTGATATGTGATTTTCTTGGACAACAAGATGGTTATCTTAATGTTCCGCTCTACTTAAAGGGGGTGACAGTATGATCGTTTGAAAATAAATATTTTGAAACTACACGTTCATTATAAAGCAAGAGAATAAGACAAATGTATATGCATGCAGAATCGCCCAAGAAAAGGAATTTCCATGCGGCGCAAAGGATCACAATAATAGAGCGTTAAAAATCTGTTTACCCCTCCTTGTTACAATAATACTAAGTATAAATTAGTATAATAGTCTTAGGCCATCCGGAAATTGCAATGATGATTATTTGATTAGTAATTTTATAAATAAACGATGTTTTATCTCTTTCTTTTTTTTCTTCTTTTTTTAACATTTACAAATTCTTTAATGCACTAGTATCAAGTTGTTAACAACTGCCCTATATGGTATAACTATTATATATAGGTTTATCTCTTCATTGTATAATGATTAACGTACATTGACAAGTGTTCTACAATTTAAGCACGTTGGTCAAGTTTAAAATTGTCAATATGCAAGGGCGGAACGAGGCCATGATTTTTGAAAGGGGCATATTCATAAACGGATTTTACACCGCCGAGCGTAGCAAGGGGAACTTTTTTTTTACGATTTTATGCTAAATAAAAAATTATATAAAAATCGTAAAAAACATGATAAAATAATTATTTCTAGCCACCAAAAAGGGGAGGGGGTCGGCGTACTCACTCTACCCCCTTGATCCGCCACTGATATAAAGTAACTATGTCGTAAACCATCATAAAATTGAATAAAAGACGAAAAAACAGAGACATTCACCAATCGCATATTTACTATAGGGGCTCTCTAATCAAATGAGTTAAGCCTTTTTCAACTCACTGAATTTTATAGTTTGTTCATATGTTGTGCTGTTATACCAGTTTTTTTCTTGTTTTTTTGGGGGGAGGGGGGTGCTTACACGTTCAACCCCGCCATTCTGTATGTGCCAGTACCGAATCTAGGAACCTGTGAATCGATGGTTGTCTTTTGTTGCTGTATATCATACATGTATTTGTTTTTCGTTTTTTATTTTGTACATAAATCAGGTCGTTAGTGTTCACATTAGTTTCTTTTTTACAGTTTTCATTTCGGGCCCTTATTTAGCTTGCTATGCCGTATGGGCGGTTCTCATTGTTGGATGCCATACGGTGTTCTATATTTGTCGTCATTTGGTCTCTGATGAAAAGCTGTCTCATTGTAATTTTAATTTTCACGGGCTAAATTGCCACTTAGGTTGCTTTACGAAGACGAAGACGAAGATATTGAACGTTATGATGTTGCAAACCAACTTATATGTATAAAAAGAAATAATTCTTTCATGCCATGCTAAATGCTCATTTTTACATAGGTAGGCAT